ATAACATACCTTTCAAGTTCTAGTATATTTGTTTAAAATAAGTATCTTTACTTAAAACTGTATCATGTATTTAATATTGGTAATATTAATATATTAATGTTTCAATATTTACAGGACTGCATTTTTTATGGTTTTGTTTCAAAAGCCATTTTCTTCTGGGAAAACTATTACCAAACACCAGGTAAGGTTTTTGCAGATTCCTTTACTCCTAGCAGCTTCTCATTTAGTGGGTGAGGATACAATGCTTATTTTTTTGATCAGGGGTACTAATGAATGACTTAAGTACACAGCAGGACACTTCTAGAGTTAACTTGCTCTTGACTTGTCTTTTCAGAATAGAGACTTCAAGAGTAAACTACAAAATGCTAAGATAATGGAATGTTTAAAAATATAGAAAAGGGTAAAAAATATAAAAGCATTTATATAATTGTCTTCTTTAATACTGGCTTTTTATTCTGAAAGATTTACATATCAAACATGAAGCCATGCCCAAGAGCCCAGTACAAATGTCACTGGGAGGCTGATAAGCACAGGGGTTAAGAGTGAGGCCTCTTGGAGTCAGGTAAATTCATGTTCTGTCTGTCCTACTTACTGAGCCTTACATTGGGCAAGTTACTTAATTTCTCTCTACCTTAATTTGCTCACCTGTAAAATGGAGCTATGAGGAATAAATAAATTAATACATACGAAGTTCTTAGAATAATGCCTGGCATGTAATGAGTATGCAGTACATATTAGTATGCAACACCTCACCCTCATTGTTGTCATTTTTCCCTTTAGACAGCTGAGGTTCAAACTTCATGCTAGAAATGTCCTAAATTTTACGTAATTATCCCACATTATCACTTCTTTGGACAGCAGTTATACCCTACTACATGTTTGCTTTATGCCACTACTTAGAAAACTACACTATGATTTTTTTCATTAGAATGGCAAATTTAAGTACTTCTGCTTTAGTGACCAAGAACATTTTTTAAAATGGGATTAATATTTAAATCCCATCTTAACGTTTTTTCCCTCTTTTCAAATATTGGAGCACTAAAAATTCCTGATGGAAAAGAATTTAAAGACTAAAACTTAAAGAGTTCCTAGGAAGCTAATGGGAAATTGAGAAAACAAAATTGTACTTTGTAGAAAAAGATTTGAAGATCTAACATCAGACAAGCATATAGATAATGGAAAGCAGAACACTGTCTTACAAATCTAGAATTAGTCAAAAGATCTTAACGTTTTCTATTTTATTTCAAAATATTTAATTATTTCACTTCACCTTTAAAATATTTGTTATTGTTATCTTTCTCTGTATGTTTTATTTATAATAAGATTGAGATTTTAGCAAAACATGTGACTAAAATTTTTGATTTTTTCCATTTATAGTGGATCAAAATATTTAAACATGCAATTGCTGGGTGTATCATTTCACTCTTGTGGTTTTTTGGCCTTACTCTTTGTGGACCACTAAGGTAAATAAAAATGCATATTTTGAATGGTTTATATTTTTGTTTTGAAGATTAACTTTGTTATATATTTTATGTCAAATATTTATTTGTATAAATGGTTCTATCACTTCTGTAGCATTGGATAGAATTCAACAAATGCGGCCCAGGGAGGAGAATTTGTTTAGTTTGTGGAACTAGTTCTTCGGTGACTACCATTAATATATTTACTCATGATTTGTCATAAATATTTTACTAGTTAGAATCCAAAGAGTCAGAAAATTTTTAGCATAAGTGGCTTTTTAAAAAAATCATTTTTAGTGACCCCTTCTGCACTGATTTAGAAGCTAAAAGATCTAAAATGGTAAATAAAATCAACCAGTAAAGCTGGGCACAGTAGCTCATACCTGTAATAGCAGCACTTTGGGAGAAGCTTGCTTTAGGCCAGGAGTTTAAGACCAGCCTGGGCAACATAGTGAGAAATGTCTCTACAAAAAATTTTTAAAAATTAGCCAGGCGTGGTGGTATGCACCTGTAGTCCCAGCTACTGGAGAGGCTAAGGCAGAAGGAGGATGGCTCGAGGCCAGGAGTTTGAAGCTACAGTGAGCTACAACCAAGAAAGAAGAGAGCAAAATCTTTAAGAGCACTATAGCCTTGTAAACTTGTAAACAAATGTCTTGGGAATAGTGTGTCAATCATCAGATTAAAGGTGTGGTGGGCTAAGTAGACTACTCTTATGTCATCTTCCCCTAGATCTATATAAAGTAATCTTTTTATGTAAATGGCTTGTTTAGGAAGGAAATGTACAAATGGGCTGCTTAAGGGCCTCTTAATAGTGCAACTGTGCATAAGCATTCTTTTTACTGTCTCTAAAGGGTTTTACTTAGTGGGGAAGTGTAAGAAAAAGTACCTTGCCATTGATAAGAGGGGAATATGAGGGTGAGAGGTAAGGGGTAAAATGAATGATGTTCTAAAGGATCTCACTCAGAATAATGGAAAGTGAAGGGTGGGAAATGCTTTGTAGAAAGTCCTTTCCCCTCTCACAGCCAATAGAATAGCTTCTGGATTGGGGTCCCTTTGGCTTATTTGCCCTATACCTTGTCAAATGCAGAGTATGTGTAATTCCAAACGTCACATCCCTATCATGGTAGCAGCAACATCCTGGAGGGGTGGGAAAGCTGGCTGAGTTTCTCAGCTTGCAGAGAGCCTTTTCAGCTTATGCTTGAATATGATTGCGTGGTGCTGTTGCTTATCATCTGCAATATTTTAAATTTCTTATTCAAGAAATTATGCTTTGGTTCATATATTACTAAATCACTGTTCCTGTGTGTTAGGATAGGGAGGAAAGGGGAAGATGATTAAATTTTACTTGGGTCCTTCTTTAGTCATCTACTTCCTGTCCTTATAACCCCTTACCGCCACCAACAGTGCCCCTCTCATTCTTTTACTAAGACCATCATGCACTTTCTCAATTGGAGAGACTGCTTTGGTGTTTCATAGTCTGTCTTATTTTAGGCTAGCATTACACTGTTGATATATTTATTTTCTTAAATTATATTCTTCCAAATAGTAATAGAATTAAAGTTATCACTGATATGTTCTCATTGTGGATTTTTGGGTAAAGAGGAAAAATGAAAAATTTACTTTACAATCAGCTGAAAATCTGTTACTATTTACATCTATAAGCCTCCTTTGGCATGCCTGTAATCCTAGCATTCTGGGAGGCTGAGGCAGGAGGATTGCTTGAGCTCAGGAGTTCAAGACCAGCCTGAGCAAGAGCAAGACCCTGTCTCTACTAAAAATAGAAAAATTAGTTGGGTGTCAAGGTGCACACCTGTAGTCCCAGCTGCTTGGGAGGCTGAGGCAGGAGGATCACTTGAACCCAGCTGTCTGAGGTTGCAGTGAGCTATGATAACTCGACTACACTCTACTC